CCAGTTTCAGCAGATGAAGAAAAAGAATTACTTGGGAGGCAAATAGAGCAGATTTGCAAATAGAGGAGAATGTTTTATGGCCAGCCTTGCAAACATTTGGCTCCTGCAGATGCCAGAAGACTCTGCATCTGCTTTAATCAATGTGGGTTGATCCTTTCTGATTAGTTCTTTGAGATCCCTGTGGTTCTTACGGCAGTAGTTTTATATTATCTAGGACAAAGCCACTGTTCAGCTTCACACAGAGGGCAACTTACCTGCAAATTCAAACTGCGCATCTTTTGATCGTCAGGGAAGGCGAGTGAGAGCTGATGAACAGAGAATAGACATTTATTAAGAATTCTGGGATTCCTCCTCCAAGGTATCTCAGCTGTCTTTCAGTTATGTCTTCATTAGAGATAAAACAGGCTCTCCTGTTTATAATATCGTTATATTTTGGCAAAAGAAAAGAAAAGAGATGACAGTAGGAATTAAAGACTTCTTTTTCAAGCAGGTCTAAAACCTGGGAAATCGCTGCATTCTGCTCAGATGAGTGTAAATAAAGGCTGCAGAGTGGCAGATACTTAAAGTAATTAAGAAGAAATCTGACACTACCCCTTAATTGCTGTCTCGGGGGACACGGGTCTTTTATGGCAGGCATGTCTTCAGCAGATGGGACAAGAGGAGAAGAAATGCAGTTATTGTACTGGGCAAGAAGCAGTTGTTCTTTTTAACCCTTCTACCCTTTTGTTGCATTTTTACAGCAGGAAGATTACCTTCAGAGGTGGAAGTACTCCACGGCAGGTTGCATGGTGCAAGCAACTTCCAAGGGAAGCACATGTAACAGTTGTCCTGAGAAAGTGTTCTGGCAAGTCTGATTTTTGGGTTTTGTTTTATTTTTGAACCGTTATTGGGCTTTCACATCTGTGTTTAGGATCTGTTGGCCTCAAAATGTTATATGGCTGGGCTTGTAAGCAGTTGGTTTCTGTAGCCACCAGAAGACTCTGTTTGCTTAGATCAAAAGAGACTGATTATTTCTTTGAGATCCCCATGGTTCTTAGGGCAAACTACCTACAATGAAGTCAGTGTTCAGCTTCTCTTCACACAGACAACTCACCAGTAGATTCAAGCTGTACGTCTGCTCAGTTATTAGCATGTGGCTGAGAGAAAAAACAAATCAGCCTGGAAATGCTGAGCAGCGCGGTGGTTGGCATAGAGGCCCTGTGGTGTCACCATGACTGCTTTAGTTTTTGGGACCGTTGGACTGGGTTGGAGTGTAACGGGATTGAGTCTCCCTGTATCTTTATACTGTCCCTATTGTAATGTATCTTCTTTAAGATAGGATCTTCTCTAAACATAAGAGGCAAGGAGCAAGGGGAGAGGGCAGGCAAGCACTGTATATAGCATCTGTAACGTTTAATTATGTGAGACAGGGATTTTCCAATATGCCTTGCAACACAAAGAACGTTTAGATATCAGCATCACAGTATATATTTTCTAAATCACAACACCCACACATTTCCTTAGCCAAGTACAAGTTTTCCTTCTATGGCTGCATATCTAAAATTAGCCTGAAGGTCAAATCTGAATAGAAGTACCCTTGCCATTGAACGTGCTGGGAATGATTGGTGCAATGGGCTCAATTTTCCCATCGAAAACCTTCATTTATTTTTTTAAATAACAGTTGCTTTTACAATTAAAAGAGCTCGGAGAAAGCAAAATGAGGCCTGCTGTATAAAATCATCATCAATATTCTGCTTTCACTGCAAGGCTATTTTTACAGCCAACTATTTTAAATGTAACAAGATGGATATAGCAAAGCCATAGTATAAAAGATGCAGCAAAAGGCTTCAGAATAGCTGAGCTGAGCACCGGCATGTGAAAGAAAAGGCGTTAGATTTAGGAAGATGTTTGTATATGAAAGATACACACAATGAAGAACTCTAAGTTAAGAAATGTGCTGTTGAGAAGGGGAGAATAGTCGAGGTCTAAACCAGTTGCTTAACTTGCAGGTGTACTGTGCGAGGACTACGCAGTCTATACTGCACAAACGCAAAAGCAACATCTTGCAAGAGGTGCATTTATCAGCCACAGTGTTTTATTGAGTGCTTTAATAATACAAGTGTACATCAACTGATCCACAGTCAAAAGTGGCAGGTCCCTAAGAAATTTACAAGCACTTTTTTTTTTTTCAGTAAATCAAAATACATATTAATTTGTTCAACGCAATAGCCTTTTGTGTGGGAAACAGAAGGCTAGTGATAAACACAGTCTTAGTAATGCACAGTGATTCTTGATTTTAAGCTTTTATACAAAACTTGTTCCCAGTAGCATGCACCCACCATTAAAGACTTCAGTACAAAAAAATAACCCTAAACACTACATTTAAGTAGAAATGAGATATAATTCTGAATTTGTTTGTTTTCCCAAAAACCACATGAAAGAAAAAAAACCCCCACACATTAATACAAAGCTTTGTGACAAAGCTCTATACTATTACAGATCCAACATTCTTTGCACTGATAACCAAAATTCCCTGTCTACATTTGAGGGAAACATCTTTCAAGTTAACAGAACAAAAAAAACCCCAAAAAACCCCAACCGAATAAAAATAAAAATAAAACCAAAAACAAAGTAAGGACAACCTTTTGTCACAAAATGGTTCAAAATTTAATAAAAAATAAGAATGAAGGGAAGGGCTATTGATGCACTTAGTGAATGTGCTTGCACAGGTCCAGCAAATCCTAGAGTAGGTTCCTATGTGGCATATCGCTTGGTCCACTGTCTGGCCATTCTGTCGTGCTCTGCTCTGTTAGTCATATACTGAGTGGCAATACTTCCAACCAGGGGGTCAGCTGAAAAGGAAACACAAACCGTGAAATACTCATCAGCCTTGGAAGGGCAAAAAAGCTCTTCTTAGACCCAGATTCATTCCATTCTCTTAGGTTTAACTGTAAGAACAAGGTGCCTACATGTACTAGTCCCACTCTGAAAGCACGCATGTATGCAGGAAGACAAGGAGGAGAAGGTGGGGAGGAGCTGGCCAGCAATTAGCTACATGTTTCTGGTAAACATAATTAAAACCGTTTGCTAAAATTCTGCCTCATGAACAAATGTTCCAGTAATTTTATTTTGAGCTAAAAGTAGCTTTCAGGTGATAAAAATAAACACACTACGCCATTTATTTACAGTATTAGACTCCCACGACTATCTATACTATCGCCTAGGAAGAGGATGGGCTCTAATTCTATCATCAGGTTAAATGGTTTTTTTTTAAAATACTTTTAGTTCTGAAGCATAAAGAGAGAGCATGGGTCAGAGCAGTAAGTAAGGCAGTAAGCACTCTTTTCAAAGCAGCAAAAGTTAATTCCAAACTTTGGGACTTGGTATTTAATTTGTGGGATCTTTCTGAGCATTTCTGTGGCCAAAACGCTGCATGATTTGGTCTTCTCAAGCTACTTCTGTGTTTCCAAAATGAAGAAACAACCTGAAAGAGTATTTTTACATTAATCTGGATCTACAAGTTACTTCACAAATAATTAAACAAAACCTATCATCCCTCTAAGAAATATAAACCAAGACGAGACTTTCCCAGAAGTGACTGTATGTCAGCACCTCTTTTTGCTTCTCAGCCCAAAGCAGACAAATGTATAGAGATTTTTCCCTTTCTCTGGGGGACCCCTACTCTTGATATTTCTCCTGCAACAGCGAGTTTCCTAAGACTGTGCAACCACACCATGCGGTTCAGAAGCACTGATGCCATGGTTTTACCTGACTTAGGACAGATGAACGTGACTTCTTATTAAAGTCAGTTGATAATGGGCTTTGCAGTCGACTGGACATGGTGCCACTGAGCAGGAGGAACCCTGGCTTCCCCAGCACAGTCGTAATCTGACTGTGGAGTTTGCACTATTAACCACCGGAACTCCTGGGACAAGGTGTCAGGCCTTCCACAAAGCAGAGTAAATCTCGGCTTTTTTTGGTGTTTGTTTGTTGATAATAAGAGTTTATGATAGAAGTATGTTGTTTTAGGCAAAAATTAACTGATTTGCTTATTGCCAACATTACGGAATAATATCTAATGAAAAAATCTTTTGCTACTTTCAGGAAGAGCCCCTGGTTTGAATCTTGCCTACTAAATTAGTAAGCAAGTTATCGCTGTGACTGTGGTGGACTAAGTCCCTGTAGTCTCAGTCCTGGAAATACATACTGCATATGCCTACCTTTAGTATATCCAGAGGAGGTCACCGAGACCTGGGCTTTGCTATTCTCACATGCATGAGTGTCAAAGAAGCATATCTGATCTAAGATCCATTTTAAAAGTTTCAGACTAGAAAGTGTGTCACCTTTCACTCCTCAGCCATGGAGAAGAACGATATAGGGGATTCCTGGGAGAATTTTGTTCTGTGCAAATAGGAGGCTAACAATCTACAGGTATTTAAGGAGTCCAAAGTTGTTCATGGCTGGAGGTTGGGGAAGCACTGCAGGGTAAATGGGGAACTTGGGCAATGGGAAAGGGCAAAATTTCTCTTGGCAAAAAATTTAGGGAGTAGCCACAGGGAAACCTTGTTGTAGTATAACACAGCTCAGGAACGAGCCTGACAGCACTGCTGCAAATTCCCACACCATCCTTGGATGCAACACCACTGTGCGAAGAAATACTTTCACAAACCCACAGAGAGAGGGAGACTAAGGGTTGAACTTGAAAAGAATCCTTGGAGCCAAATTTGATGTATGTGCTGGTTTTCATGCTGCTGGGAAAGGTGGGGTTTGGCCTCTGCAGCATCTGGCTGTGATGGGTTCCAAGAATATCATGGCATTATCATCTGGAATGCGGTAAGTGCTTAATGAGGTTTAGTGTGTATTTAAAGTGTTGCTGCTGAGACCTTTATAAAACCTTACGTGAGACGGTGAAAAGTGATGTGCTGAAGTAAAGGTTTACCCAGGAGCTAGAAGCATTCTAACAACATACAGCTTTGGGAGGATTTGGAAGGTACAGACTCTTCCTCTCAGCTCTTCCCAGCATGGAAAGGGTGTCTACTTTCTGCTACATGGGGTGAGGGAAATGAGTGAGAGGAATTATTGAGAAGAAATTGTAAAGAGTGGAGGTGACGGCCTGCAAGACGTGAGGTCTACATGGGTTTTGTTGCACGTGTGCAAATTCCCACCAGGAGAGTGACCTGTGGATCAGCTGTTATCCCAGGGTGCTTCCCTCCAGTCAGAGCTTCCCTCCATCAGTGTCTGCCTGCAGGAAGCAGGACTGCTGAAGCCAAGAGAGGTCCTTGCCTGATGTAGCGTGAGCAGGACCAGCTGCACCCACAGCCAGCTGCTGAGCGGAGCCTGCTAAAAGGTGCTCTCGGTGATAACAGTGTTCTTTGCAATTTGGCAGATTGGCTATACATTTTATTGGTTCTAACAATATTGAATAAAAGAACAATCCCACAGTTAGGCAAAGTGACTAGCTCGTTTGAGACCCCAAACTGAAGAAAAACAGTTATTGCCAGAGAGGCCCAGCTATTTCATATCCCCGTCAGAGGGTCTGGAGCTCTGTTGTCATTATCCGTAGTTATTTATGAGGACTTTAATAAGGACCCTTCAGCGGGTGTTTGAAGAGCTAGCGTATTTTAGCCATTCCTGTGAAGCTGCAGAGCCATCAGGAGGCACAACAGCTTTGTTATTCGGGACATCTGGTGAGGAGGCAAATTTCAACCTCAGATGGGAGCCACCCCACCAGCGGCTGACTGGCTAATTCCATGCAGCGCACTGCATTTGTGCCGGCGGACACGCGGACAGCGTGTGAGCTCCGGAAATGCAAAGTCTCTTTCTGCACCTGCATGAAGCCAGGCAGCTTCAGGCCCAAGCCATATTGTCCCCGGTGAAGCTTGGGCTGGGACACCCAAGGAAACGGCGCTCTCAATACTTAATGAGTTGTGAGTCACTACTGCTAGGCAGTTCATGGGGACAGGCTGTAAAATGGAGATTAAAAGATAGATCAAAGTACCTTAATTAAAACAATTAAAAATTTAATTCCCATCATGCACAAGCCTTGCTTATAGTGTCCAAGCCCTACAAAACACCAAATATGATGAAAAAATAATAGTTCCCATTTACTCCTTAAACCAAAAGTAGCACATGGCTGAGCACCACCTGGTTGCACGACTTAAGGAATATTGTGAAATCTCCATTAGTAGGGCCAAATATTTATTTATAGAACAATTGCTGCATAAACTAATTAAGAAATAAAAAGCAATACCGGATCTCAAAATTCATAACGGTACTTGTCCCATGTTTCCATTTCTCATTACCATAGAACTGTTTCTCATTTTCCATTTGTATATATATGTGGTTTTATTCTCAGTGTTAGAAATTTGTTTCCCTAACTAGTAAAATGCTCCAGCTTTTTCTTTTAGAAGTAGTATGATTCATCAGGTAATCAGGGTTCATTTCAGAAATTCACTCCAAATGGGACTATGTCCAAATGACAACAAAAACCAGGGGATCAGAATACAAAGCTATGCCAGAAATGCGTTATCAGAACAACCTGGTGAAAGAAAGGAAAATAGAATCATAAAATCACAGAATGGTTAGGGTTGGAAGGGACCTTAAAGACCATCCAGTTCCAACCCCCCTGCCATGGGCAGGGACACCTTCCACCAGACCAGGTTGCTCAAAGCCTCATCCAGCCTGGCCTTGAAGACATCCAGGGATGGGGCCTCCACAGCTTCTCTGGGCAACCTGTTCCAGTGCCTCACCACCCTCTCCATGAAGAACTTCTTCCTGATATCTAATCTAACCCTCCCTGATTTCAATTTAAACCCATTACCCCTTGTCCTGTCACTACAGGCCCTTGTAAAAAGTCCCCTCCCAGCTTCCTTGTAGCCCCTTCAGGTACTGGAAGTACCCACAATAAATTAATAACAGTAAGAGCAAAACTTGGAAACTCCTGGCCTGGCAGGAGGTGTGTACTTGGGACCTCTGGGATCACCAGATACACTGTGCCCGGCTTGAGAGCTGGGGTGGCACAACCAGTGTACAGCTCCGGCGGCTGGAGAAGCCGGGACGAGGCAGAGCGGTCGTGTGCCGCACTCACAGCACCAAAGCCCGGCAGCAGCGCGGCGGGTGGTGCCGGCTGCGATAGCCATGCGCGGGGAGTCGTGCCGTGGCACACACCGCCAGCTCACCAGAGAAGCTGCTGCAACTCTGTTGACCTGGAAATCTTGAAGGTCTCAGACTTTACTGTTCCCTTATAGCCCCTGACACTCTCACTTCTAGATATCAGCCCTAGGATGCCTCTATAACCTTTAGCTTGCTTAAGGAAGAATTTGTATCCAATACTCTGATTAGTTCCATGTAAAACTGGAACACACCAGGAGTTACAGCATCAAATTTCAGCAGTGCAAGAGTAATAAAAATATATAAAACCCCCACCAAGTCAAACAAACATGGGCAGAAGCTAAGGTTCAGTGATGCAGCTTACATGGAAAATGTCAGTCAAGAGAACTGAAGTATGAAGAAAGCTTCTGGATGATTTATAGGAAGACTGCAGCTGCTAAATCCCCCCTCACCTCACCATATGTAATCCTCATGTTATATCAGAATTCACGAAATTACTCTGTATTTAAATGTAGTTTTGAAAGCTGGGCGAGCTGGGGCTTGTCCCTAGCATAAAAAAGGTTGGAGGTGCTGCTCTACAATGCCTTGACATCTTCTTCTGCAGCCACTTAATACGACTGTATAAGGAAGACCATTTGCGTCTTGTCTGTTGCAAGGCTAATCAGATTTACAGCCCAGTTCTAGGGAGTTAATGCTATTGGGGATTTGGATGAACTGAGGGTTGGTCATTACAAAATTTCAG